GGGCACATCCCCAGTAGGGGGTGTGCAAGAGGCAGCTGATCGATGATTCTCTCTCATCGATGTTTCTAACTCTCTATCCCTCTCTCTTCCTCTCTGTGAAAAATCAATAAAATATATTAAAAGAAAAAAAAGAAAAAAAAGAAAAAAAAGGAAAAGATAAGGTTCATCAGGACTGAAAGCATACATTAACTTGAGAACTTCAATGCAAAGAAAACCTTTCCGTGGAGAAAAGGAGGGTAGCAAGTGACAGAATCAGGCCATAAACTGAATACTTTGTGACCTTATAATAGCTAGATGTTCAGAAATGAACTATCTAGTAACTTATCAATACAATAAACCCAATCCTAAATAAGTTCTCCTTACTTTCAATGAGCAGGAAAGTTAACATATTTATAGGGCCTACTCTATGAATTAAGCTTTCCTCTTATTTACAGATTAAAATAGTAAGCAACTTGCTCAGCAACATACCAGAGATTAAGTGAAGAAACTAGGAATTAAAATCTGACTTTTAAAACCCATGCCAAATTCACCATTCCAAATACCAAGGTGCCTTCTCTATCAGCCTACTGCTCCACAGATTATATAATAACTAGTTATTCCTTTATGAAAAATTACTTTGTGATGAAACAGCCAATCGATACAAACTACACATTTTAAAACAAGAGTTAACAGATAAGATTTCCCTTTACCTCAGGCCTCATTCCAAATGCACTTCAATAAACCTGTCAAGTATTGCTGCTCCATTAACATTTTCAGTGGTCCAGGGCCTCAGTACTTTATCCCAAGCAAAATGAACTATTTTCGAACACTATCTTCTGCTCAAGGGATTGCATTACCTAAGGTATTATCTGATCCAATGGCCAAGAAATGTATTAGATTGGACTGATTTTTGAAAAGACACGCAAGCATAAACAAACAATTTATTCACCAGAAATATGATATATGTTGGAAGACAACTTCAAAACCATTAAGTGCCACAGATTTTCTTTGAAACCCAAGCAAGAGGGCTTTTGAATTCCAACCTGACGTACGGCATAACAATTTATGTCAAGGTAACTGTCCCTTTTAAAGCAACTCAAAATCCTATTCATAAATCATCTTTGCTCAGTTATGCATCCTTGGATAAGTTCTTTAAACTATCAAATTTCCTCAATAAAATGATCATGCTCCAGGAGCAATAAATCAGTTAATAAATACTTGCAGAATTTAAAATGTTACCTGAATAATCACCCAATAAATGCTGACTGTTGTATTCTTCTGTAACTGTTTACCTTAGAAGATAATCCAAATAAACTCTTCAAAATTACATCCCCCTTTCCCAATAAAAATAAAAACATAGTAATGGGGTGGGGGGGGGGGGCAATGGTAAGATATGTACATATAACAACTTAATAAAAACAAAAGAAAACATAGTAACCTCCAGAACTAGAATTCAGCAGTAAAAGGCAGTTGATAAACAGAAGTATACAGGTTACTTCTGTGGCAAGCCCAGTAATGTGATCTGATGGTCTGTCAATATACTAAACCATTTACTAGAACAAAGATGAGTGAAAAAGACTGCACTTGCCTTCTAACCCCTACTCTACCCAACATGAAAGAACTTCTTATTCAGATGAAATTAGTATGAAATGGGACTTATAGGTTCCTTCATATAAAGAATGTTGTAGCCGGGACCGGTTTGGCTCAATGGATAGAGCGTCGGCTTGGGGACTGAAGGGTCCGGGGTTCGATTCCAGTCAAGGGCATGTACCTTGGTTGCGGGCATATCCCCAGTAGGGGGTGTGCAAGAGGCAGCTGATCAATGACTTTCTCTCATCGATGTTTCTAACTATCTCCCTTCCTCTCTGTATAAAATCAATAAAATATATTAAAATAAAAAATAATAATAATAAAAAAAGAATGTTGTAAGTAGTACTACTTCATCCCCCAATCTTTTTCTTCACACTATCATCACAATTCTAGAAAACCAATTTGTTTTTTTGGTTCATAATGTAAGAGATATATTCAAATAAGTGCTAAAACATTTACTCAAAGAATCAACTAGGAATATGAGTAATCAGATTTGATTACACTTGAGGATTTGAATAGATCATTACTTTTCTAAATTAATCAGGATCCATTCCCTCTAATCCTTTCTTTCATTAGTATTTCAAATTTACAACCAAGCAAAATGTGAACAGAGTAAGCAAAGTAGTATTTTATTGGCATAATCAAAGAGAAAACCACAGGCCCAAAATGGCCTCACTCATGCTAAAAGCCCATGATATCAAACCTAGATTTAATACCTGATCTAATTGAAGTTTCATCCTCTCCCCAAATCAATCTTTTTAAAAACATGTTTTTATTGATTTCAGAGAGGAAGGGAGAGTCAGAAACAATCTTAATCTGGAATTTTTTGCTCAACACCAATTAAGTAATCTGTCCCATAGACCATCTCCTTGCCCCCTTCCACACCCTTGGAAAGCAAGAACTGCATAATAGAAACCTCCCAGCCCTAGCCTGTTTGGCTCAGTGGAAACAGCATCAGGCTGAGGGCTTAAGGGTCCTTGATTTGATTCCAGTCAAGGGCACATGCTAGGAGTGCAGGCTTTATCTCCAGTAATAGATGTGCAGGAGGCAGCCAACCAGTGATTCTCATCACTGATGTTTTTATCCTCTGAAACCAATACCTCCCTGCTGAAAACAACCATTTTCTTTTTTGTTAACAGCAACCTTGCCCTATCCTCAAAGGAGTGGATGGGATGCTGCCAATCCTTTTAAAAAAGCTAACTAGCCGAAACCGGTTTGGCTCAGTGGATAGAGCGTCAGCCTGCGGACTAAAAGGACCCAGGTTCGATTCTGGTCAAGGGCATGTACCTTGGTTGTGGGCATATCCCCAGTAGGGGCTGTGCAAGAGGCAGCTGATCGATGGTTCTCTCTCATCGATGTTTCTAACTCTCTATCGCTCTCTGTAAAAAATCAATAATATATATATATTTTTAAAAATAAAAAAGCCAACTAGATCTTCAAATGTATTTGGTTTAATTTTGTTCTTTAACATCTTGAAATCAAACAGATTCTGCTTTTAGCCCCCTTTTCTACAAAAGGATATGTAATTAATGTTTAGAATCAAAACAATAACCTGGAGATAACATGGAGAAGTTAAATAATAAAGTGAGAAAAAAGAAAAAAAAAAAAGCAGCTGGCTGGTGTGGCTAAATGGTTGAGCATTAACTCATGAACCAAGAATCCTGGATAGGGCACGTCGCCCAGGCTGTATGCTAGATCCCCCAGTAGGGGGCAACCAGGAGGCAATAGATAGATGTCTCTCATGTTTCCATTTCTCTAGCCTTCTCTAAAAAACAAAACATTTAAAAAGTCAATGGTACTGTATAATTAAAATTTTTTAATGATCAATAGCATTTTGTATTAAGTTTTGGTACAGGCAAAATTTTAAATGCTATATATCAAGAAAAACCACCTATGAAGTCAAGATTATATTAGATGTTCAGTTCCATCTACCCTTCAGGCTCCCTAAAAAAACAAACGCACATTTAAATTCGGCCCATTTTTGAGCATTTAATACTCATTAATCCTCCGAGGATCACTGCAAATCTTTTACCTCCAGCCAGTTTTTAAAAACTACTTATTGATTTTACAAAGGGAGAAACATTGATTTTGTTGTTACATTCATTCATTCATTCATTCTTTTATTTGCCGTGGTAGGGATCAATTCACAACCTTGGCGTAACAGGTTAACATTCTTAACTGAACTACCTGGTCAGGGACCCCCCTCAGTACTAAATTCTAAACAACAGCAGGTCCTCGGGTATTGTGGTTCCCCTCAATATCGTTTCATTATAAAGTTGATATAATTTCCTTGATTATAAAGGAAATTAACTCTTGTTTATATTGATTAGCCTACGGTAATCTGGTTTCCTTATTCATAGCTTCGCTTAAAGTCAGAGAACCTATTTTTTCTGGGAACTTCAATAAAGGCACTAACTGTAAGAAAGCAATGCAGATCCTAGAATGAAAGACACTGCAGGCCTTCGGTACTGCCACTTACTTCAGAGCCGTTAAAGGGGTCCATTAGTTAGGATCAGTTCTCCCCCCAATTAAAAAAAAAAGCCTGGTCAAGACACCCATCGAAATTCTAGCTGTACCTGAGGTTCACAAAAATATTCTAGCCACGGAGACCCTGCTCACCCATCACTTAACAGCCATGCTTCCCTCCTGCATCCATAGAAAGATGAAGACCAGAGAGAAGCGGATTCAGAGCTGGGCACCCAAGGACCAGACTCATTGTTCATTACACTCATTCTTACATCCCACCATTTCCCCAACTTCCGGCAAGAAAGGGCCCCCGAGGCCGGGGTCTCCCACCCGCCCCAGGTGGCGGCCACGTGTGCTGAGCCCGCCCGGATTCCCCCGCCCCGCGCCGCCGCCGCCGCCGCCTCCGGGGGGGCGGGGGAGCCCGGGCCCCATCCCTGCACGGCCCCTCCCTCCCATCGGAATTCGCAGCCTCCGCCGTTCCTTCCATCCCCCCAGCGGCCTCCTCCGGGTGTTCATTTTGAGGAAACAGGGACGTCGAGCCCGGCCGGCCATGGGCTCCGCACTTGATCCGGGCCGGGGCTCCGGGCGCCCGGGGCGTAGTCCTCGCCGCCTCCGAGCACCCGGCCCGCGCCGCGGCCTCGCCCCCGGCCACGCGGAGCAGCCGGTGGCGCTCGGGGCCCCGCGGCGCCGCCTGGCACGGCCCTCCCAGGCCCCCCCCTCCCCCCAGGCCGCACCGACCCCCGCGCCTCCTCAGCTGCCCCCCAAAAAGAGGCGCGGGGTGATCCCGGGGTCCTCTCGGACCGTGGGGTCGAAACTCGGCGGACGGCCCCGGCCCTGGCCTCCCCGAACGAGCCGGAGCCTCGGACTCTCCCTCCGCGGCCCCCGCTCCGGCCCCCCGGCCCTCCGCGCCGGCCGCCAGGCCGACATTCCGTCCCCCCTTCTCGTTCAGGGTCCCCATCCGTTACCGAAGGCGAGCACGGGGCGCCCGGCGGCCGGAGCTGCGCAGTCCGTGACTCCGGGCGGCGGCGGGAGGAGCGGGAGGCGGCGCTGCGAGCAGATGGCGCTAAAAAAGACCCGAGAGCCCGCCGCTCGCGCTCATATACAATTAGCGTCAGCACGTAGGGCCACACCGCCGCCGCCCTCCCCCCGGCCTCGCCGTCGCCTAGCAACGCGGGCGGGAGGCGGGGCCCAGGACGAGTCGCTTAGCAACAGAACCGTCCTTCTTCTCCAACGACCTCCACGCCCCCGGCGCCCGGCTCGGGTTCCTCCGTTCCCGCTTCCGCCCCCAGCCCCCAGCCGCGCACCGGGCCGCCTCGCGAGGTGTCCCCCGCTCTGGAGAGGGAAACTCGGGCCCTTTGGTTCCCGGGGAAAAGGCCTTGAACTTCGCGTCTCGACGTCCCTAGGCGCCTCGCTCCCCTTTGGCGTGATGCTGGCGGAGGATGAAGGGGAGGGAGGGCAGCCCCCACGTGATGGGGAGCGATGTGTAGTTCATGCCTGCGTCTCCCTCTCCCGGGTAACCATTTTCTCCCGCCGCCCATCTCTTCCCCCAAAGCACAACGGCGCTTCCCTCCCTCCCGCCTCAGGGGCGGCTTCTCCTGAGAGGGGAGCTCCTTGGCTTCCAGGGGAGCCCCTCATCCCAACTTCAATGTCCTTTCCCTTGGCTCGTGGCCCCTCATTTTTTGCTTGGGTTCTTTTGATGGGTGAGAGTGGCACGTTTTTGCGTGTGTGTGTGTGTGTGTGTGTGTTTTCTCTGGATGCTTTATCAAGAGAAATAAGACTTGGTTCATCTTTCTGAAAAAGTACATCCCATGTAAATGCTCAAGATTGCCGAACGGCTGGGCTGTGTTTTTCAATTGATGTTGGATTGACTAATAAATAGTCACTCTTTAAAACAGTGGTTCTCCAAGTGTGGTCCGGGTTCCCAGACGCTTTCTAGGGGAAGGTCAAATGTAAAAACACTAAAAAGTTATTTGCTGCCCTTGCCGGTTTGGCTCAGTGGGTAGAGCGTTGGCCTGCCAACTGAAAGGTCCCAGGTTCGATTCCCGTCAAGGGCACATGCCTGGGTTGTGGGCTGGGTCCCCAGTGGGGGACTTGCAGGAGGCAGCCCATCCACCATGATTATCTCTCATCACGGATGTTTCTATCTCTCTCTGCCTCTTCCTTCCTCTCTGGAATCAATAAAAATATATTTTTAAAAAATAAAAGATTAAAAAAAAAAGATAAAAAGTCATTTGCTTTTTGCACGTTTATTCTCACTGGAGTTTTCCAGAGGCTACATGACATGTGCTATGGAAGCATTGAAAACAGCAAATGTTACCTACCACGCAGTCATCTGCTGTTAAACCAGACATTAGAGATTTGCAAAAATGTGAAAGAATGTTTTGTAGAGTACTTACTTTTGTCAACTAATGATAGTTGGGGCTAATTCAAACCCACGGGAACTCCAATGTGTGGTTGGTAGAGAAGGAAACTTTGTGCAAATAGCTCAATTGTGACAGCATGTGGGGCAGCTCAATTATGAAGCAGCACAGGTGAGGCCTCTCTCCAGCCAGAAAACGCTGCTCTGCCCTGGTCAGGTCCAGGCTGCTGCGCCTGCTCTGCTAGCGGCCTCAATGCAACTCCACCCGCAAAACCTCAGTCCTCAGTCTTCAATGGGAAGAAAGTGTGCTATCTACATAAGCCACAGGGGATCTTATTTATAGAAGTCCCTGCCCCTGGTCCCTGATTGGGCCACCCTCATGTAAATGAGGCTCCAACTCCTCAGTTTGATTGGTCAGAATGAAGCTGCTCTGCTTGGTCAGTGAAGATACAGCAGCACAACTCTGCTCTGATTGTAGAAGGGAAGTCTCAGTCCCATAGATTGAAATAGGAACTTGGTAAGAGTTGGCTCAGAACTGGAGGCAGGCAATTTAGCAGGGGTTTGGCTGAGAGGGCCTCTGTTTAGAAACCACTGCTAGGCTCTGCTTTTAAATTTGAGCCCCGTCAGTCAAAGTGTTGACCATCTACACTTAGTAGGGTCAGCACTTTGCATATAAAATATTCTTTCATATTTAATTGGTTTATTGTTTTAAATAAGAAATAACTGTTCTTAAAATGTCTTTGTTTTAATTTCTAATGTGATAAATATCAGTATCTGTAATGCACATAGAAGTTCTTTGGGGGTCCTCAGTTTTTAAATGTAAAGGGTCCTGAAACCAAAATGTTTGAGAATGTTAGAGAGTGAGAATGTTGGAGCATGCTTCCATAGAAGCCGTGGACTATGCCCCAGATAGAATTATCAGTGCTGACACCAGGCCAGTCCTTGAGATACGGTCTCATGGCCCCTTCCCAGCACGTAGTCCTTCTTTCAAGGGCAGAACAGGACTGTCTTCATTTTGTACTGTGTCTTCCATCTTGTATAACTATGTCTCCAACATAACCCCTTTCCAAGAAAAACCACAAAATGTATCAATTACCCAACCCACCCTTAAATCAGCCAATAGAAATGCAGAGGGAAGTAACCCAGCATAACTGGACCCTGGCCCTCACCCCACCAATCAGAACCAGCCAACTGAGTGGTCCAAGCATCACCCCACCACCCAACCCTAAACTCTATAAAAGGACCACCCTTTCAGAGCTCAGGGCTCTCTGCATTCTGCTGCTGCGTTGGTAGAGGCAGGGAGATCAGACTCTAGTTTGAATAAAGGCTCTTTTGCTTTTGCATCGGACTTGGTTCCCTGGTGGCCCTTGGGGATCTTGAAATCTGGGCATAACAAGAACCTCTTCTCTAAATGTTGCATTCCTTGAAACTTCAAACTGCCTAGTTATCTATTGTAAGCTCACATTTAGCAACTATCTCTATTCCATTTGAGAGAGTACAGGTTTTTTCCCTTGACACTCCCCAATCTCTTTGAAATTAGTTGCTTTTCCCACTCTACGCTACAGATGCCTCAGTTTACCCATTCATTTTGGTTTTTCACATGTGATTCTTTTGTTTTTCTCAATCTTTATTTTTATTGGTTTAACCTTTTTTTTTTTTTCAACTTTCTTTATGTACATCCTACTCAACAATGATGTAAGGCTAACAAGGATTATAATAACATCAGTAATGACTCCTCATGAAGAATCCACAATACATAAACTAGGTGGATCAGTGCCCAATAGGTATAAACATTTGACACTATTTTCAGTGGAGGTTTCAAGAGCACTGTACTATAATCAAAGCTATGCACAATGCAAGGTAATTCACATATTAAAAATGAACTAAATAGCTTTCTCTTCCTTTCCGTAAACCTTTTTGGTGGTAGAACAACTTCTGAGACCAAATTGAGAAATTAGCCTTCATGATAGTCTCTATCCCACTCCAGGGGGCCCCCACCAATTTCAGGCACTGACCTGGTACCCCAAATTTCTGATGCTTCAACTCCCAACCCCAGGTTTAAGGGCTTATCATTACTAGTCTTCATATATATGTAAATATATGTTTTTTCCGCTCTTCTCCAGCATCCTCCCCAGCTTCCTCCTCCCTTTCTTTCAATGTATCCTAGTCAATCTAAAAAATTAAACCATAACAAATTGCTAATCATGCCTTTTACTGTGATCTTTTGAACCACAGTTTGTAGGTCTAAACCTCTGCCATTTAAGTCCAGGGAAGGCCAAGCATTTATTCATTCCTTAAACAAATATTTATGTCAGGAACAACTTGAGACACTGGAAATACAGCATTGAACAAGAAAGACCAGATTCTTAATTTTTAGTGAGCTTATGTTTTAGTGAAGTTGAGCAAGTGACAGGCAAGTAATGAAATCATTGTAGATATTAGTAAGTGAAAGAATTATGAAGAAAATAAAATGAGACAAAGGGGTAGAAGATGAATAACCTAAAGTAACCATTGAGCTTTGTACACTGATTGACCCCTCTTAGGTTCCCAAGTCACACAACGTAGTTAACTCATCTAATTACTAAAAATGGTGGCCCTGGTCACTGATCTTGGACTATGCTAGACTTTTGGTTTAAAGTTCCTTTTTCTTCATCCCCCATTATTTTCACTTGAGATATATATTATTATTATTATTTTTTTTTTTACAGTATTGTAACCTAGTCGGTTAGAAGTATGGCTTTGGGAGTCAAACAGCCCAGGTTTGTCCCTATTTTGTTGTGAAATTTTAAACAATATGTAAGTTGCATAACATGGTACCTGACATATAATAAACACTAAGAGTTAAACATTATAAACCTCTTACTAAGGTTACTGTATTTTTATTTTTTATTTTTTGCTTTATTTAAAGGTTGAGGGAACTTCTAGAAGTTTTCTAATAGTATCTAACTGATTTTATATATATATATATATATATATATATATATATATATATATATATGAAGTAAGAAGGAGAGAGAGATAGAAACATCCATGATGAGAGAGAATCATGGATCAGCTGCCTCCTTCATGTCCCCCCCACTGGGTATCAAACCCACAAGCCAGGCATGTGCCCTTGACCGGAATCGAACCTGGGACCTTTCAGTTCGCAGGCCAGCACGCTATTCACTGAGCCAAACCAGGTAGGGCAGACACTCTTTTTGTGAAATATTTTATCAAAGGCTGTCTTTTCACAAATATTTATTTTTAATTGATTTCAGAGGGGAAGGGAGAGGGTCAGAGAGCTAGAAACATCAATGATGAAAGAGAATTATTGATTGGCTGCCTCCTGCACACCCCCTACTAAGGATGGAACCTGCAACCTGGGCATGTGCCCTTGACTGGAATCAAACCAGGGACCCTTCAGTCCACAGGACAATGCTCTATCCTAGGGGTGTCGAACTCAATCAGAGAATGGGCCAAAATCTAAAATCCAGCCTAAATCGTGGGCCAAATGGTTTACTGAACAGTCATAAACTGTCATTGTGATGGAAACGCAGCGGAGTGCAGTGATGACAGCGCGGTGCAGGCCACATTGCAAGGCCTGGCGGGACGGATTTGGCCCGCGGGCCTTGTGTTTGACACATGTGCTCTATCCACTGAGCCAAACTGGCTAGGGCCACAATTTTTCCCAACCTGAATCTATGTAATTACCATAACAGTAGTATTACCCAAATTTCGAAATTGGATCCAAATACTG